CATATACTTCTCTCTCTCTCTCTCTGTTAACAAATAAAATGTGTTCATTGAGGTGGCGACTTTTTATGCTTGCACTCAAGAGGAGCTCATTAACTTTATCTACTCGTGGACATATAATTCTGACTTGTCACACTTATAGTTTTTTTATAATCATTAAATAAAAATATATATAATTAGCTGTGCCACAACATATGCTTATAATGATGCTTGTATATTTTTAGTTGCGATTGATTTTATTTAAAACAATAAAACAGACAAGTTGATGGTGTTAAAACAATGAATATTGGTCCTATGTTGCTTTCATATCGATGTATACCATAAACAAAAGCATAGTTACAACTTATCGCCAATGAGTTCGTGAAATGATGAAACCGTTATGTGACACCAGAAGGGGCATCGTAAGAAATTTAAGAAGGTGACATTTTCAAATTTGTGATGTTTGATTGCTCATTGACAGTTGAACTACTTTATTGTAATCTTTAAGTATTATACAAAAAGTTTTGTGTGTTTTTGTTGAATTTGATTAAGCTATAACGCTGAACGCAATGTGTCTTGCAGTATTAATATCTCGTTAATTTTTAAATAGTAACCTCAAGCAAAATTCATTATGACTTTCATGCAATGATTTAAATTCCAAAGTATATTTAATTTTAAAATGAAAATGTTTAACTCTAGAATTACCAATGGGGTCTATGTTATGAAGTTAGTTATAAGGTAACATCGGTTGAAGTTGAGAGAAAGTGAGAAACCAGCCAGCCTTTGGACAGTCTCTAAGACATTAGAAAATGTTTGAAGTGAACGGCTGCCTTTTCGAGTTCGGTATGGGGACTACAAGACCTATTATGGTCATGAAACGTTATAATCCAGTATATGGGGTACAAGTGCAAAGTCAGAAAGACGGGTACCGGTTTGGTGTGGGTTTGAGAAAGGAATATAAAGACAGGAGTTCAACGAAAAAAATATAAAAAATAGAAGAAAAGCCCAGGAGATGTGAGAGAGAACGAATGTAAAATAGAGGCGAAAGTAAAAAGTAATATACTGCCAGTAAGAAGGAAACCCATTTCTAAAACTATGCCAGTAGTAAAAAGCAGTTTGCTATGCTCACATTGATGTGAGAAAATTCCTCATAGGAATAAGTACAACCTAAATAAAACTGATGGACATAAGAAGGGAAACGAAGTGGGAAAATATCACTATCGTAACAACAAATATCAGTCGACTTTTTAAACCCATTTTTTTCTGAACTATTTATGCACTAAATTGTTTGTTGGTTTATAGTCGTCCCTAATAACATATCTGATGAGCCCTGGTATTGGACGATAGGTCTCGTCAGCAGTGGATATGGTATTTGCAGTGTAATTTAAATATTATAATATTCTTCATTTCTTTAACTCATTGGTTATTAGAACATAACAGTCACACACACATACACAAATTAAAAGCGCCGCCAACATTGCGGTTTATTCTACTAATATCTGCTGTACTTTACACAAAAAATAAGTGAATTCACTCATTTTTATTGTTATTTTCTAACAGACAAAAAAATTACTCTGTATGATGCACTAATTGACCCTACCGGTAGTGAACAGTGTATAAGCAAGTCTTTAATTTGAAGTTTATAATTTTAATTTTAGAATATATTTGGTTATTATTATGTTTGTTTTTTTGACATTTCATGAACGAGATCACGTTAACACGAGTTTCAAAATTGATTTCGAATATTTCTTTCAATTTCTTGTGTATTGATTTTTTTTTTTTTTTTTACACAGTAAACGAGCTGTAATGAGATGAACACTTAGGTCGACACACTTAAGCGATAAAGGGGATCTACTTTCTAATTTGCACCTCAAAAATTTATTAATTGTTAAATATTCTTATGGACTTCTAATACAACAAATATCCAACATGTTCATCCTTTTCTCAGCCATCACCTCAGTGGGTCGGCGGTTAGTTTATGGACTTACAATGGTAAAATCTGGAGCTTGATTCCTTTTGTACAGAATGCGGGTAGCTTATTGTGCAGCTTTGCGTTAAAACAAGTACTTTTCTCAGCTATCTGATCAAAACTGTTTCTGTGGGAACTGAGAACAAGCTCACATTTCTTACGTAACTACGTAAATATGCAACCACTCTATGACATACTACTAAACAGATTATTCATTTACTTCCGGAAAAAACTCACGTAAAAATTAATTATTACGATCACTTGTTCGCTATATCATACATGATGAACATGAACCTAAATATGTACTATAAGTATAGTAATCAGCCACCTACTGCCAGACTTACTTAACATATCACATATGCATGTTATGTATTAGAAAGAATATTTATGCCAATACATACTAAAAGTATTACAAAATGAATAAACACTGGATTATATGGGACTGTTTGTGATATGTGGGACTGATAACACCAAATGCTAAACGTTGAACATAAATGGTCATGGCCCTGATAGTGGTTTTGTAATCATGTTAGTGACATTACATAAAAGCAACTCTCGCATATGGAATGTAAGCGTTTAACAGTGCTAGTAAAATACCAGTGCAGATGTGAGGAAGAGGTGGAAGCAGCAAACCTGACCCTCATATACCGAAAAGGATATAGTTCCCAATAAAGAAAGTTCGCTATCAGTGATCAATGCAACGGGTATATAATCAGTTCCAGGTTTTTATTATTGCAATAGAATAATCTCACTTGCCATATATTTATAGATCTCAGTGAAAAAGTTAAGAAGAAGATTTTTGTAAAATTGCGTCTTTTACGTACACGTATAATTTGTAACAGTCAATACTAGATATTTGTTGATCGTGTTTGAGAAAAATATGATATTCTTTACTGAAAATAAACTACCTATTTGGTAAGTTTTTAATTACTTTAAGATCTTTATTGGTTGGAAGTAAGGAACTTCGATGAGATGAGTGTACATTTGACACTTGGCAATAGCAATAGCTTTTATAGTGCGCTGATCTTAGTCAGTATAATTTAAAGTCAGTAACCTCGTGGTTGACAATATGTTCTGCCTCACGTAGCCGTTTGTTGACTGACTACGATGTTTGTTGACCGTGTGTAGAAAGAATACTTAATCAGAAATGAGACATGAGAATTTGTTTTTGTTGAATCCATGGTTAACTAATAACTTTAGATTATCACAGCCCAATAATAGTTCATTCAAAATACTCACGTGCAAGGTAGTTCTTTAAAACGAATACATGACGTTTAACTACATAGTGGGAATGATGTTTATAGAACTTCGTAGTTTGAAGCTTTACATTAATGAATAACTTCGTTTTCTGCAAGCCTTGAAAATTAAATCATCTTCGCCCGTTAGATGTCAGCAGTTCCGATTGCGCGAAAAGAAGGAAATTTAAAATTATATTTGACAGTGTAATCATGTTATATATCCTGTTACGACGGCGGAAGTAACGCGACGCTGGGAGCATGCGCCCTGGAGTTTCTAGAAGGATTATGGCTTATCGGGGAACCTCGCGAATGTCCCAGTGTTTGCTAGACGCCCTCTTTTTTAGTATATAAGCCAGCGATAGATAGATTGAAGATAGAGATAATTGAGTTAAGCGAGCAGTAGGCACCGTAAGTAAAGTGTGTGTGAATCACTGTGGTTTATAGCGTGTGTTATAAAGGTTGTTAAGTTTAAAGTGACTGTGGAAATTAAGTATTTTACAAAGTTTGTAATGAGAAAGAATAAACTAGTTTTAATTATGAAAGGACTTGTATCGCTAAAGTCACTCAGAAATAATTTATACCGGAAATTAACAAACAAGCAGATACCCAACAATACATATAATCAAAACAGTTTTCTACATGTGGATACAAATATTAAAACATAATATTATATTTTTAACTCTTTTCTTGACCTGGCATGACCTGGTGGTTAGGATGCTCGGCTTGCGAATTCACCTCACCAAACATGCTCACCCTTTCAGCCGTAGCAGCGTTATTATGTGCAGTCAATCTCACTATTCGTTTGTAAAAGAGTAGCCTAAGAGCTATCGGTGGGTGGTGTTGACTAGAGGCTTCCCCACTAGTCTATAATTATTAACTTGGGATGGTTAGTGCAGATAGCCTTCCTATAGTTTTGTGCAGAATTCAAAACCAAAACAAATCTTCTGTTTATTATCTTCTTGTATATTATTTCCTGACTTCTTATGACATGGTTAAAATTCTACCGTTCTTGTGACTTCAGAGGTCACTCCTCAAGAAGTAATTTTAAAGAGAACTTTATTGCTCCTTTTGTGATTCCAAGGAATATTTGTAACTGTTGAACAATTAAAAGTTATATAGTTATGAATGTTTGGGATCCACCCCATGTGGTCTATATTTACCATATGTAACATCTCTTCCATTTTTCTTGCAGTTGTAGAAAATGCAATCCTTCATCATAATACATATTATTTGAAAGCTCTAGGAATTCGTTTCTTGAATTCAAACGACCTACCTTAAGACACCCACCATGACTATGGTACTTGAATGCCTTTTCTTCCTTAATTTCAACCAGGGGATACCAATAAAACTTTGTTATTAACTTGTCAGCCAAAATTTATCAAAATGGGATTCCATAGGTACCAGTTTCTGTATTCTGAATTACCAGGTTAAAAAAAATAAGAAGATGATTTAAAAAAAATAGTTATTATATGCAATCCTAGTTATCAGAAAATTGGATTACATTATGTGAACAACTTTCCTACCCTGTTTAAACTTAGTTTAAATATAAAGTATTTCTAGATGCAATAGTGCATGTAGAGTATATTTTATGGGAAAAAATGTCTTGTATCTGGGTCATTACAGCTTATTAAAATTTGAGAATAATTTTAAAATGAATTAAACTAGATACTTATACTTAACAAAAAACAATCTTATCAACATTTTAATAAATTTTAATATATGTGACTGTTTGACTCTCATTTCTTACAAGAGTATTAGCCATATCATTCCAACACACTTGTCTACTTGTAAACAGAAACATAAACAAATTGTTCTTTTCAGATTTATCAAAAAACAGGTTTGGCGAACTTCCACTTGAAGTGTGCGAGTTCTTTCTGTTAGAAAGGCTGAACTGTTACCACAATATGATTCGATCTCTTCCTGACTCGATAATAACTTTGCATTCATTAACACATTTAAATCTCAGGTTTGTGTGGTTCATTTTTGAATATTTAACTTTATAATTAGCTTTTGAACAGAAGCAGATTATGGTGTAGATTAAGTACAGTTTATGTCAGCTGTTAAGTTAAAATTTAAACTGTTTAACGTTTTGTTTTCAGAACTTTTTTTATCTTATTAATGTAATTGTTTTGTTATTTGAATTGATTTGTTTTGGTCTTAAGCTGAATCAAAATCTAGAACACCTTAAAATTCTGTCAATCCACTCTTGTCATTTCATTCTGTATTTTATTTCCCTCATGTAATTCAAAAGTAACAGTTATTTCTCCTTAGTTTGTGAACTAATAATAGTTCTTGGCAAGAATACAGAAACTAATTTTGTCTGCACATGCATTTTTCTTGAGGTAAAAAATATCTTTTTAAATTCTTTGAACATTCTTTTAGCTTAGAAAATGAAAGATAAAATTAAGATATAGTGTTAAAAAGCTTGACTTTTATTAGGGACAGAGTTTTTCTATTGCCAATTGCCAGATGCTAAAATATTCTGAATACCTGTTGATTATTGTGATGGAAACTTGAACTTTGAAGAACTATTGTTTTGCTTAAAGTTCTTTTTGTAATAGCTCTGGTTACTATATGTCAGAAATATATAAATCTTGTTTATTTCTACAGTCGTAACCAACTTTCAACCATTCCGCCAGCACTTTGCCAACTTCCATTAGAGCTTTTAGATGTTAGCAACAACAAACTTGTGTCTCTTCCTGAAGAGATAGGCCACATGCAGTGTTTAATAGATCTGGTAGGTTGTAAGTTCTACTTAAATGAGTTGTGCTTTATACTTAGCAGAAAATAATCTATTTTTGTATCATATGTTGTATTAAGGTGTTCTTGTTGTTTTTACTATCCCACCTGTTCTAGTGATTTATTTGTGTATAACTGTATAAATAGGATATTGATATGGGTAACGGAAATTGAAAGGTCTTGAAACAAAATATATGTAAGTGGAGAACTTTGAGTGTTGCTAATCTTAGATTATAATGTTACTGTTAAGATATGTAATAACAATAGTGATAAACTCCTTGTTAAATGTGGTGTGCCTTGAGTGTATCCAAATTTAGGTGGTTATAGAACCAAAGTCAAGATGATTTTTTCATAATTATTATGTTGTTTAGGGTTGATTTTGTATTTTTTTTTAAACTTCTTTTAGGTTTTGGTGAAATATTCTTGTAATAATCGAAAAGAATTGTGAAAAAGAATTTATTGAGTGATTGTAAACAACATACTTTTCTTGAATAGCTCAACAAAAGGAAAGAGAAACATTGTATTATATTACTTAAAAACTATCAAATTATAAACAGTTATTGCAATAGCTCGTTTAATATTGTTTAACAAATTGTAAATTTAATTAACTTCTGATTCAAAGCTGTGATGGAGAGAAGTACAATGTAATTTTTTTTTATTATTGAATGTTCTTTCGTACGTAATATGTGAACTAGTTACTGTCAGAAGACTAATTTGTGTTAATTACATTATAAGTAAATCTTTAGTATGATGTGTTGCAAAATATCATAATTTTTTAAGGCAATTCTTCTGGTATCATAAAAAAAAAAGACAAACAATGTAGTCTGATAGTTTATGCTTAAAACACTTCAGTCTGCCTTGAAAACTACTTTTGAAAAGATTATTACCTATTTCTTTAAAAAGGTATGAACTTTTTCCAAAATAAAATAAGATGTTTAATGAATATGCCAACTTGTATAATGACAGTGTATTGCTAATTTCAAATGTAGGATGTGAGCTGTAATGAAATAACCATCCTTCCACCTCAGATAGGAGATCTACAGTCTTTAAGGTCATTTAACATAAGGAGAAACCTTCTAGTTGAATTACCACCTGGTGAGAACTTGTGTTTTTATGAAATATTTTAATTTTTGTTGTTATTGTTGTGCTACTAATAAAATGCAACTTTGTTGTGGGAGACAGATATTATTTTAAAACAAATTTGGTTGTTTCATATATTTTGAAATAACTGTCACTAATTCTTGGTTTTCTTAAATGCAGAATTTTGTGAACTTCACCTAGTCAAGTTAGATATATCTGGTAACAGAATATCCTCACTGCCCACTGCACTTCGGCAGATGAAAATGCTGCAGAAACTTGTTTTATATCATAATCCTTTGACTTCTCCTCCATCATATGTAAGTTATCTCATTTTTGTTCTTAATGTATAGCTCTTTGTATAACTGACTGTGCATGGGGTTGTCTATTGTGTCGAATCCATATTGGAGAAGGAATGTTGATTATAGTTCTGAATTTACTACATGTATCTACATGAGATGTGGCAAGCTTTGAATAAAGTGAAAAAGTCTGTTGTACACAAAAAATCAGATGTGCTACAAAAGTATTCATACTAAAGATGTGTCTGTGAATTGACGATGTCAGTCTGGAGTGCAAGGTGATGTTCACGTGAAGAATAAAAATACTGTTGTCCATCTTACAGTTTGCATATTGCATTTGCATAATCTTGAATCTCTGAAATGTATATCTACAGTTTTTTAATTATCCCTATATACTGTATTTACCCTCCTCTACCATGAACTGTCACTAAATGTAGGATAAAATGAATAGTTAATGATTTTGACATCAAATGTATAATATCATGTTTAATGACATGCACACTTTGATTCCCACCCATTCACAAAGAGATAATTGAGAGTTCAATTCCAATTTCAGAGGCATAAGTTATTTAAAAAATAATTTATGACTAAAATGTGCAATAAGATATACAGTTTACATTTCTTACTGATTGTCATAACTGGTCAGTTTTGACTGGGTAAAGTAATTACTTTAACTTGTTAGCACTGTTTTGTGGAAAGGGATTGATATGGGATTCTACAGAAGACATATTGATTGTGAAGTTGTCTAAAAAGTAAAGGGGATAATACATAAATTCTACAATAGATGTGTTGATTTTAAAGTTATCTAAAAGATAAAGGGATTGGTGTGTGGATTCCACAATAGACATGTGTTGATTTTAAAGTTATCTAAAAGATAAAGGGATTGATGTGTGGATTCTACAATAGACATGTGTTGATTTTAAAGTTATCTAAAAGATAAAGGGATTGATGTGTGGATTCTACAATAGACATGTGTTGATTTTAAAGTTATCTAAAAGATAAAGGGATTGATGTGTGGATTCTACAATAGACATGTGTTGATTTTGAAGTTGTGTAAAAGATAAAGGGATTGATGTGTGGATTCTACAATAGACATGTGTTGATTTTGAAGTTGTGTAAAAGGTAAAGGGATTGTGTCAGAATTAAAAATATGATTCTTTTAGCCAATTGTCAAAATAAACAAGTCATACTTATATTTCTTAATAGGATTCTTCTACAATAGGTGTCAATGACTTGTTGCCGATAAATTCAATGATAAATGAACAGCATGCATTTCACTTGTTTTCAAAATAATATATATATTTGGAACAAGTTAAATGTTTGTACAACAAATTATTCAAACTATAGAGATTATAGGCATATCATAAAAACTATATTTTTATATAGTTCTCATCTTCTTGTCAAAAGTCTACTTAAGCCTATTTAATTACTCTAGGATTTCAGTTGACAAGTTGAACTATCTTCTCTATTACTATCGCACTAGTATTCTGTGTGTGATTCACTTACAATTGTGGCTTGAGTTACCATAATCGTTTGGTCTTCTTTCTTCCAAATATCCTCTATTCCTTTTGTCAAAGAACCACACTTTTATGGAATAATTGTTCTTCTTATTGCCTTTTATACTGTTAGTCTTACTCTAATTTATTAAATTTTTTGGCCTATGTCAATTGTAAGGCTTATCACTTCTACAATAGTTAACTTCATGCCAAACTTTTCCTTGCCTGTAACTTTACTCTCTTCTGCTATGTCTGTCTGCTGTTTCCTCTCATCTCACACTGTTTATATGTTTATCACTTAATAGTCTGTCTGTCTCCTAGAATTCTTTATTCTCGACGTCAGTGTATTTTGAATTTGTGTAAAAGGTAAAGGGACTGATATGTGGGTTTTAAAATAGGTTTGTGTTGATTTTGAAGTTGTCTAAAAGGTAAAGGGACTGATATGTGGGTTCTAAAATAGGTGTGTGTTGATTTTGAAGTTGTCTAAAAGGTAAAGGGACTGATATGTGGGTTCTAAAATAGGTGTGTGTTGATTTTGAAGTTGTCTAAAAGGTAAAGGGACTGATATGTGGGTTCTAAAATAGTTTTGTGTTGATTTTGAAGTTGTCTAAAAGGTAAAGGGACTGATATGTGGGTTCTAAAATAGTTTTGTGTTGATTTTGAAGTTGTGTAAAAGGTAAAGAGATTGATACATGGATTTTACAGTAGACGTGTTGATTTTGAAGTTGTCTAAAAGGTGATCTAAAGTTGTTCACTAGTTACTTAAAAATTTAGTTATCTGTAACATTTATTTAAAAAATATGGTAAAGATGACTTGCTGAACATATATATGTTAATAGATTTATTTACACAAACAGAAAAAAAGGTAATAATGTTTTGGGTCACATAAGTTTTTGGTTATGTGTGTGTGTTTATTAGTGTGACTTTTTCATATACAGTTTTTTGACTATTGTTACAGTTGTGTGCAAGGGGAAAAATACATATATTTAAGTACCTAGAAATACAGTTCATCCGGGAAGATAAGAAACAGGGACTGCTGTTAAATTCTGAATTCCACCATTCATGTAGGAAACCTACACTCTTGTAAGTAATTGTTAGCAAATTTAAAAAATACAGTGTAAGTTTAATTCTGATGATTTTTTATAAGTTGTTACAGATGAAGTGAAGATATCAAAGAAGTAGTGTTTCTCTAAACTTGTTTTAAAAAAAAATTATTATTATTCATAGATTCTCAAGACTCCCTTTGCATGTGGTACAAAATAACCATTTTCAAGTTATTAATACTGCAGTGTCACTGTTACATATTCAGTTTATTAATATTAGATCTTGATAGTTAACACAATACTGAAGATTTTGTTTCATATTTATATGTAGTTGGAAATATTGTTACTTTGTATAGAATACAGACCAAAGCTAGAGACAGTTTGTAATAACTGTTTTTTTATTACTTTCTAGAGAAACTAAATGAGTTATCATAGATAAAGAACACCAGTAATAAGTGTTGAGTTCAACAAGAAAAGACTGATTTTGCTACACAAACCTTAAAAAAATGAGAACCATTATTGGTAAAAGACTGTCTCTCCATCTGCATCTGTCTGTGTTATATCCATAAATTGTTTTATTACAATAAAAAAATTATTCACGGTAAATAGTACATCAGATACTATGATTTAGTGAATTTCATCTACTTATACATGTACTCTTAACTGTTCAGCTGTTTTTGCATCTCTTTTAAATCACCAAAACTTCTGTTCAAACTCAGTTACTTAAAGTGAATGATTAGTAAAATGACGACTGGTCAAAGGGATTTGCAGGTGTTGGCTAAAACTGAGAAATATAGGAAAAATAATTTAGCATTAAGCAGTAAAAATTATCACTAATTATTTGCTTATGTAATGGGAAAACCTCAATGATGTATATGTATTGGTTGAAAACAGAGTTTTAAATGTTTTTCTGCAAAATGATGTTTAAAATAATCACAGGGTGACATCTAGCAGTAGAATAATGTATGAAGTTCAGGATATGCATTGATTTAGAATCAACAATAAAATAGCTTGAATATAGTTACAAGAAAAGAGGTCAGCATGAAAAGTTGCATGTCAAGTGCTTAACTTTTGTGTAAATCACAAAAGTTGGACAATGTGATGTGTTAGAAAACAAAAGATTGAGGTTTTTCAGAAACTGTAGGAGAGTTTTTGTATAGATTACTCAAGGGTGTGTAAGCAGAGTGGTAAAATATGGGTAATGGGTTTATGATGATGTGCAGGAATGGAAGATATTGTCGACAATGATTTCAAATGTACTGTCTTGCTAATTAAAAGGTAATTGAAAAAGAAAGACAGACCTGCTGATATAAAACATTATGAAATAACCAACCTAAATTCTCAATGCTAATCCAGTTGGAAATTATACCACTACTTAAAAAGTAATGCAACAAATAAGAATGAAACTAATCTATACCAGCTTTGAAAAACTGTTTTGCAAAAATGGAAGGAAATACTGGTTAGTAATGTCAAAAAACTGATAATAGCCATGTATGATTGACGTGCTAAGGGTTAGTTGCACTGTAAAAAATGATATTTCAAGTATTTTGTGGCTCTTGGAATTTCTTCCTCCATCATCAATCATGCTCAGTCTGATAGTCATGATTTTTCACAATTACCTGACACTAGAATTTCCATTGTAATTAGTTTAGGATGTAAGTAAGTTGAGGTCAGCTTTTATTTCATACATCTTGATAGATTTTACTTAGACCCTCCATTGTACATATCAGCTTCCAAATACACATTTAATTAAAACCTAGGTATTAAAGTCCATTGGAGAGCTGCATCAGGGTAATTGATGAGTATGTGGTTAATTGGGTGTTGATGTGATTCAAGTTTCCTTAGCCAGTAGCTAATAATTTTGAGGTGTGATTAAATGTTTGTGAGCCTACATAAGCTTCAAGTTCTTATTCATTATTTTTTTAATGGTACCATGATATATTCCAAGTTCATTGTAATGGCTTTTTGGGTTAGAGCATTCTGTTTCATATCCATAGCCTTCATTTTACAGCTGAGGGCGTTGCTCCTGCTTGGTTTGGGGTGTGGTTTTTGAGACTATTGTTTTTTTGCTTTTCTAAATGTTCTACTATGTGAGTTTCTCACTTCAGTGGAAAACAATGAAGACTCCTTCTTTGAAATGTTGTGCCTTATTACTCTACATCATTTAACAGATTCACTTTATGAATATCCTTTCTTGGAAATGGCTGTGACAAAACACTCCAGCCGTAAGTTAACTAAAGCAACAGTACATTGTTGAATTAGTAGGAGTTCATTATAAATTAAACATATAGGTGCTAAACGTGTCTATGGTATCACAGCGTGCATCTGAGATGACATGGCACTATATTATAATATACAATTTTGTTTTTATAAAGTGCATTGATAATTTACAGTCTTATTGTTAAGATGGCAGGACAATCTACTAATTATTGAATTTTGGAGTTTTTACGTTCTACAACAAATTTATCATAAGAGTATAAGTGTAACATTTAGATCAAATTAAAACTTTTCTTTTGCAACTGTGATGTGTATTCCAGTATTTATTAGAGATATGCGCAGTAAAAGTAGTGTTGTTGGTTCTATTTCACTATTTATACACCCACTCACCCACGTGTGTTTGTATGAACTATATATTTCACAAATACATTACTGAAGTGCTTGTCATATATTTCTAGTTGTTCTCTTTTTAGTTGTTTCATCAGTAGATATTTTATATAAACAGGAATGACTTCCGCTATCAAAATGGTTTAACAGACAATAGAAGGAAGAGATACACTGTTGATTCAGGATACAATACTTCAGATGGAGGGGACAGGCGATGGTCTCAAGAGTTACAAGATGTATGTACAGATCAGTATCTTTGCAAGTATAGTAGAAAACATTTTTACTAAGCAAACAACAATGTGAAATGAATACCTAGATAGTTAGCTTTCAGAATCAAAATTTCTAAAAAAGGGGGAATTTTTTAGGGATTAAGTGACATTTTTTTCTCAACTTGAATTAAATGATTCATTTGTTGCTATTTTTATGCCAAAATAATTTTTCAGTTTTAATATTCAATCTAATCAGGATATATTATTTTAAAAAATATAGAGGTATTTTTTTTTCTTTTTCTGAAACAGTATTTATTGTGAATCATTGCCCTTTTTTGATCTCTGTTAATGATGCCTAACTGTAGTTGGAGAAGTGTATCACCTTGGAACTTTAATTAAGTGAGTCACTAATGATATGATTCCCTAACCAGCCAATGTGCGAGTAGAATGGACATAATCAGTTCTTCATAAGTGATGATATGTATACTATGTGCACCAGCTTTTACCAATTAGTAAACCAAATCACTGTGAAAGAGCAAACTATATCTTTCCATAGTAAATAACTGATTTCAACTAATGACTATCTTGTTTCTTAAGATGTGCTTAGTAATGCCATTGCTTTTCAAATAAAGTAAATGTAGATGTGGTATTGGAATTATATTTCAAGTGAATCAATTAGAGTGATTAAAAAAATTAAAACTATATTTCAAATGAACATGACTGTAAACTGTAAACTTATTATTGACGAAACTGTAAATTTAGTTGAACAGTGATGCAGAAGAGGCCCGTAAGCTGGCTTTACGAGCTGCTGAATTTACCAAAGAACAAAGGCAAGAAAGAGAACGAGGTTTACAACAACGCTTTTCTGGCACTGAATGTCCACCATCTTCTAATGGAAGTACTAGCTTGTCCTCTACACTGTCTGGACTTAGTAGTTTAAGCACTCCTAGTACACTAAGTCCAGGTTCTGAATTCAACTTTGAAGAAGAAATAAACATGGCATGTAGTATAATCCATCTTATTTTGCTCAGCAGCCTATTAATTTCACTAGCAAAAGTTTTACTTTTTCTTACTTCAGTCAAACAACAGGGAATTTTAACCACTATCTGTTGTTTGTAATAAAATTATAATATGTGGTGAATTATTTGACTTTTAATTCTGAGGTTTGTTTTCTTTCCATAGTTATTTATCTTTAAGTTGGTAATAGAGTTGCTTCATCACTGGTAAAGCAGATTGAGTATTGGATTCAAAAGATGTTAATATCTCTACATTTCAAATTGGAAAGGAAACTGTGATTTTGACAGCAAAATAATGAAATGAAAAAATTGCAAAATAATTTTAGTAAGATATACATATTATCATGGAAAGTGTACTGTGTTTTAGTTCCAGGTCATATTTCAAAAGTGTTGTTTAGGTATCATAACTGAAACTTCAGGTTGAAATTTAAAAAACCTATAGGTTTTCATTCTGTTTTTTCAATTGGAAATATTGAGTTTTTGATTATAAGTTGTGAATTGTTAATTCTAGATTTTGTGTTATATATATATTGTAGGCTCTTCAACAGAAATACAGTAAGTCAAGCCAGGAAGAAGAAAAAGACAGAGAAGAAAGGAGAAAGATAGCACAAAAGTTATTAGATCAACACAGAGAAGATATCAGAAAATCACAAGAGTTAAGGTAGGAAGGAGCATCTTATAAAGTGTGTTCTTATTCCATCAACTTATAGATGCAATACTTGGAATCTATTAATCATCTGTTTACTAGCTCAGTCGATATGATTGACCTCGTAACCACCCGCAGCCATGAAACTGTACATAACTTTGAATCTACTAAGTGTATCTTCATAAAATTTGGCAATATTTTCTAATAAAGTATTTTTACTAAAGATTTGTCTGTGAATTTATAAAGCCTTTACTCAGTCAGTGTGAATGAAAGATGATTTTCACATTAAAAATAAAAATACTTGTTTTCATCTTACAGTTTCATATTTCATTTACATAACTTTTAGATCCTCCTAGAGAAATACCAAAGGTTTTGTTTGAGTAAAACTCTATATTTTATCTCTTATTTTCTCTACCCTAACACTAACCATAGTAAAATCATAAAGTGAAAGGAAAAGTAGGAAAATATGAAATACAATTAACTATACTGTTTAATTCTGGAATGACTGCAGATTGTAATAGACAGTTACAAATTATTATTCTAAAAGACTCAGCTTATAACCTTCTCACATCTGCTTTGTTTTAATTTTATGGTTTTATTACTGTACCTTTGGACCCTACTGCATGTGAAAAGCAACAAATCACAGCAGGAACTCATTTAGATGTTTCTGGTAGAGCTTGGGGGTAAATAAACAATTTGGTTAAAGTGGGGCATATGGTGTGAGCTCACCTAATGAATCAATTGAGCATCTGCAATTTAAACTTTATGTAATATAAATCCTTAGAAGTTTCTAATTTTTACAGTTACATTTGTTAAAAAATATACAAACACTAAATGAAAGATATACATAAAAAAACTCCCACAAAATTGAGAAAGTTCGTACACTTGAGTAAATGTTCTTAATAATCCTCATTGATTTTATGAAATTTAAGTATTCAAAAAAGCATCATGTAGCTTTGAAGCATGTATTTAAGAACACAAAAAATGTATCACTCACTTAGAACAGGAACTACTATAATGTATCTAGCTTTAAAAGTAAGCTATAAGTAGATTTAAAAAAATATGTTAGCTACTTGGAGTTGAACAACAACAATCACAGACAAAGAATCTAAGGCCAACTGTTTATGTATGCCCACCAAAAAGAAACAACAAGACATAATATCTCTGTAAACTGTATTCTGTGAGTACTCATCTATTCAACATTCTTATTACTGAATACCGAGTTTAGAAGAAAAAGAAAGATTGTTAGACAAGAAATTCTCGTATCTTATCAAATACAAGATGGTATAGATACAGAAGTGGTATTGTAGTTTGCACTATATGTTAAAAAATTTTGCTTTCTCAAGAGAAATATTTCTGTAAAGTTGAACGTGTCATGTAGAAGTAGACAGTGGTCTTTTCCAACTGGCAGGTCAGGTAATACCTTGAAATTATAACTCCCTTATTTTTCGATGGGAATGGCCAACAGTCACACGAGTAGTGCATGCACCCTTAAAATAATAGCATTATTGTTTCATGTAAATAATGTTATATTTTCTGAGCTTGGGACACTTCTACACTGAAAGCTGTATAACCTCTAGTCTTAAGTGGATAAACTACTTTTGATTGTTTTATATTAATAAATAAAGACTCTTTTTACATTAACTCAATACACATTATGCCCAGTCCCCCCCTATTTTTTACAACTTGGTCAAAATTACAGACTTTCAAACTTCCTTTTAATCTACAGAATTTACTTGATAACTCTTAAGGGAAATAGTGCACCTTAGAAAACCATAGTACACCAAAACTTACTTACTTCCATTCAACATGCATGTGTTCAACTGACACCCATATTGAGCAAGGGATACATAAATATGGTGTGTCTTAGAATTGAAGATACCTGCAAGGCTATCGGTGGTCACTAAGAGCAGTTTTATGTAATGTCTTTTAATTCAATCATGAAAATCATATAACCTTTGTCACCTACTAAAATGGCCCCTGCATTTTTATCTATATCCTCGGGAAACTGATGTGAAAGCTAACATTATTATTTTACATTTCACCACTAAAGGTCCATGTTGTATGTATACAGCAGTGGTATAAGTTTGTCTATATCTTGATTGGCCAAATATGGATAATCTACAGATTTAACAGGACTTCAGATTAACATTTTTGAGAAAACTGTCTGAATTTAGCTATTGTGACTAGTGGTGTATGAATAATTCAATGACTTTGTGTCAAGATTAATAAACTTTAAGTAATAGAACTGCTTTGAAGCTTATAATAACAATTTTAGCTCAACATTATAATTTGTCACTACATTACAGACCTATGTGATATGTAAAAACTTATTATTTATGTTTAATAAAGAAAGAAATTGGTTCTTATGTGTGATGACTGATTGGAGATAATCTCTTAAATAATTGGCATGATGGTAACTATCTTGCCACAGCAACCTAATTTATTGTATTTTGAGCATGTTATAGTGGTTGTTTAATGTAGATATAGTGTATATTGTGTTTAGTCTTTTGCTTTGTTTCTCTGTGGTTAAAAAAATCTAAGGTTATTCTTAAATATACCCATTAGGGTGGTCGTTATTGTCATGTAAAACTTCAGGTTAAAAATTCTAAAGCTCTCACCTCTTAATTTTGTTCCAATATACAAAAAAGACATTAAATATCAAACTTCATTCATTTTGGACCATATTCAGAAGTTGCTTAATGAGGTGGAAGTTCAAGACTGCAGTAGCCTGGTACTATGTGGTATGAAAACATACTTGTTATGTATAATGAATGATTTATTTAAAAGTATATTATGATTTTAGTATGGTTAGTCATCTTTGCATTGTTATTGTTTCCTTTTTGCTGTTAGGAAAGTGTCTTCTAAGAACCTACACAACTTGAAGGAGGAATTGTTTGTTCTTCTTTCATTGTTATGATGGCATTTATAATCCCGAATAAAGTCTACACCCCTTTCAGCACTGTCATTTACCGTGTTGAACTGTCTATAGTGCCTCCCTGTAGTCCTCTCTGAGCTCCCATGTCTCTGGGTCATAATACAGAAATCTAGATTGAATTATGAGGCATCTAAAGAAGTCTGTTGTGTTGTTTGTGACAAAATCTTCAAATGATGTGTCTACAGACTTCCCAATATTCAGCTGGATGCACCTTGGAAGTTCGTCCAAGTTTTCCTTTTCGTTAAGTGCTTTTACCATTCCATGTTTTGTCTCTGTGGATACAGCTGAATCAAAGAATGTCAAACCAATAGTTGTTCCTCATTGAGATACCACATATGTCCAGCACATTTTTGATGGGCAGATTTTGAAAAAGAAGAATCCGCCTTCTTATATTTAGCAAGACATTGTAGGAGGTTAAGATCATTTTAAGAAGTAGAAATGGTATCAGGAACAGTGAACCATGCCATAAGATAGACTTGAAAACAGATGTAGGTGTCATGAAATCCTCTTTTGTCATGGCCAGTGAGCTTACACTGTCCCATAAACATCCATATCTTGAGATTATATAATGCCTTAGCCATCCATCGTGCCTGATGCAGTGTACCAGGTGTTATAAAGCACATTCCATGAGAAGGGATGCCACTGAGACAGGTTATGGCTATTTCAAAAAACTCTCAATAATTGCCCCTAGGTTGGCTAATCTGAAGTTGTCTTGTAGCAAGCTTAATGACATTGTCCTTAACTTCCTCTATGACTTCTGCTACTTCATCATGGTCTGCTGCAGTTTCATAACTGGACTGGTTTACATATTTTCAAGATTGTTGGAATTGATTAATAAATGCAGTATCTGGACAAGAGGAAAGCTCCGTAAAGCCTTTGAAAACATATTTCAGGACAAATGTTGCCTTTCTGTTACTCAACTTGATTCAGTCTACAGCTGCTGCTAAATCGAGAGTGATGATATTTCTTGCCTCTTTTTAGGTGTAGAAGATGATGATCCTCCAAGTGCTCTTTTATCCTCATCACTGTTTTTGGTACTGTATTCACCAACCTCATCATCATTGATGTGGAATAATTCCCAACATCTGACAGTTTTATTCAAGGTCTGGTGTTCCTGTTCTTCAGACTGCTTCCAGTCCATACTTGCCTCACTTCATATCTCAGCCCTTGATTCCTTTAAAGAAAGAACCTTATCAATCTGGCCCATGCATCCACAATGTTCTCTTTTTCCAGATTATTGACAAACTGCTTCATTAGCTCACTGTGTTTCATTTTCCTTTTTTTTTTTAATGTTTCTTTAGCTTTTGCTCATTTTTCAGAAAGCTTCTCCAGTTTGATAATGACATGATGTTTTGGGTGAATTGGAATTTGAACCTTGTTCCAAAAAGCTGCAACCTTCTTGATCACTACCTTTGAGCTTTCACAAACTGTCTTCTTTAATGTTTTGTGATGGTAGAAAAACACACACACAACACTTGCCTATTTAAAGGTAATTTGCTTCCTGTTAGTTCAGTTTCTTCTGACCAAGCAGTATATATACATAGTGAAAAGCCAATACAGTGTGAGCTGAAATGATAAAGAAGAATCTGCTTAAGCACTTATGTACCCTCAAATAAATTCTAGCAAATACTGTCATGTCATATAGAATATTCCAGAAATAAAAAGTGACAGCTGGATTATTTATATATAGAATGTTCTTGAACATTCTGAATAATGTGTAATATTCCATAATAATATGCTAGAACATTTTAGAATATGCAGATATAATGTGAGCTATGAGGTAAAATTTCAACTGCCTTGAGATTCCTGTGAATGTTATTCAATATGGATAAAATTTGGTGTGAATTACTTATTTATATATTAGAACAAAATAAGGGGTGAGAGTGTTGTAAATCAAAAGTTCAAAAATAAAGATCACCCCAAGACACATAAATTGAGCAAAACACATGTAAATGGTAGTATGAACTTTTTTCTTTGTTATTATATCAGTTCTCGTTGAATAAAAGTTGAATAAAAAATTATACAATGGAAGGGATTAGTGAGACAAGTTTGCATTACATATGTAAAGATTTGGTAGAACTAAATCTTGGTTGATTTCAGTGCTGGCGTTCCTATGCTAGGGGCTGGTGATGCTCCTGTCTTGGAGGAAGGGCAAGAACTAATGCAGGCCAACCGACAGAAACCATACTCACACATACAAACATACAAAGAGTACAAAGAGGCCATTAAATTTCAGCGATCTGTTGACAACAACCTGTACAGAAGGTTAGTTTTTACTTTACATGAACAGAAGGATATACATTCTTTCAGCTGATAATGTTTGTTTATTTATTATTTCAAGTTATTCAGTTAATCAACTATCTTAAAATTAAAAAAACACAACTTCATTAAGCAACCAATGGAGATATTCTTCTATCATGATTAACAAGTTCTATCTATCATGATTAACAAGTTTTTGAGCAATTTGCTTTACTTTTGTGGTACATTTTATCTTTAAGAAATAAAAAAGTGTAAAGATTGCCATTAATGTGTGATCCTTTTTTAAAATGTTGGCTGTTGGTATTTTTAATTTTCTTGAAATAATAGTACATAATTATGATATGGCATATTTTAATGTGTAAAACAAAGTCTTTTTTTTTATATATTGGTATCAAATTGGAAGAAAGTTTCTTTCAGATTAAAATATAACATTTGGATAGTGTAGATAAGCACTTAAGTTTGTAACCTTTTTTTGAATAAATGTCACCTTGTGTATTGATAACAAAACACAAAATAATGACACAGGTAGCATTTTAGATGCAAATATAATTGTGCTAAAATATTTTGAGATCTGTAGTGGTTTCTGTGATATTGGATGAGTATAAAAATTTCTTTGAAGTATTTACTGATTTAATTTTTTTTTACTTTAATATATATTATGTTTAACGTAGAGTAAGTGTTTTAGAAATGTAGGTATTTAGTAACTCTGTAATGCTCATTTTGACATAGTATGTAATTCCTTTTATAAAAGATGCACCTATAAAGGATATGATACTGTGTTGTTGAATAGTAAATTCCTATTCACATACAGTGTGATTTTTTTTTTTTACAGTTGTAATGGTAACTCATCACCAGATACTAAAACAGAGATGATACTTAACTATCAGTGTGTTGCTACTGCAACACCAAAGTCCAGCTACTCATGTCCTGTGAGTTGAGTTTGAAATACTTTCTTGATTTGTAAACTCTTGCTAACAACTTGAAATTATCCATGGCTATGTTATAATTATTTTTAGATGAATTGTAATTTGTACCTCGGTCTACAAGAGTTTTTCCAAAATATGGGGTGTTTTTAAGATATTGTGTCATACTAGGATGGAGTTTAAGTACTCAATCTTTCAGTTATCTTAATTCTTATTAAAGTTGAGTGTGCATTTATTTTTAAGTCATGTTGTGATAAGATGAAAACCTCATTTCTTCAGTTCTCAGTATTTTAAAAACTTGAATAAATGATTTTATCATTGGGTCACTTCCTATAGGTATAGAGCATAATTACAAGATAAGCAAACAATAATACTATATATGCTCTGCTATTTGCTCTAAAAGTAGGCCTAATGAGAAACATATACATTAGTAGGTACCCTTGTCAGAAACTTGTAATCCAATTAAAAATGAATGTAAATTAATAACATGCATTTTTAATATATGCATTTAAAACTTTTTACCTTGCCTGCTGTGGTTGATAATTACACTAGCACATACAAAAATGTAAATCTGTGTTTTATGTGTGAAATTGGATTACCAGACCATCTATCTAAACCATTAGTTGATAAGAGTCTGCGTGTACATGTCATCTTACAGCTGGCAAACTGCTGTACCAATTTTCACCAAATTTGTCATGTACTCTTAGGGTTGCCCAGTGAGTGATATGAGGGATTGACATTAGGATATGACATCCCTAAATCACCCATGGGGGATACCTATGTCTTCCTTGTGCATTGTGTCCACTTTTTACTAGCAAACTACTGGACTGATTGTAACCATACCTGGCATCTACTCTTATGATCCAAAAGGGAGTGATATAGGGGTGTTCACATTTAGATCTAACTTGTCTCTGCATTGAATGAGTACATCAGCTTGTGTCCAATAATTGACATTCAGATAATTTATGTTTTATTCTAGATGGAAATAAAAACAATAATTAGATCATTTCTCAAACTACTTTAGCTAAAAGTTCTTGACCATTTTAAGAAATTACCCATAATAGGAATCTGATTGGATCATTAGTTAATTTGGTAGTAACATGACCAATAATCTTAATTGTTAGAATTTGTCAGAAGTTCAATAATTTCCAGGTCATACTTACAGATTATCTTGAATGATAAAATCCTTGCTACTTTCCAGTCTTATTCAAAGGTAAAAGAAGTGAAATGATCCAGGTATTTTGTCGTAGGATGATTAGTGCATATCTAAGTTAGATGGAGCTAACAAAATTACATTTTGTTATCAAATACTAGAATTAGTACACTCTAGATAAAATGGCAGAAAATCTGACAAAATTTCTATATTACCGGTGCTGTAGTCAGACATAAAAAGCATTAAGGTAGATAAAGAAAGCATTATAAGATTTCACGGGCACCTGAAAGTTTTAAAAAAGTATTGTCAGTTAGAGCAATTTTTCCTCTTGAAACAAAGTGTCACTAATTTAACAGCATGAGCTAAAACTGCCACATTGTGCTGCTTAAGTTGAATTACTTTTCATCTTCGCTTGCTAAGTTCAGCCAGTAATAACATGCTGACAGGTAGCAACTTTTGTACTTTTGAGCATGGCTGGGCTCCATTGGCCACCTTTATCTTGTTTGTTTGTTTGTCATGGATTTTGTGCAAAGCTACGTGAGGGCTATCTGTGCTAGCCATCCCTAATTTAGCAGTGTAAGACTAGAGGGAAGGCAGCTAGTCATCACCACCCACCGCTTACTCTTGGGCTACTCTTTTACCAACGAATAGTGGGATTGACCGTCACATTATAATGCCCCCACAGCTGAAAGGGCAAGCATGTTTGGTGTGATGGGGATTCGAACCCGCGACCTGCAGATTACGAGTCGAGCGCCCTAACCACCTGGCCATGCCGGGCTCTCTTTATTTTGTAGTACTAAAGCACATGATATTTTAAACAATAGGCTATACCTATAGGCAAGATTTAGAGTTAAATTTCAACACAATAATGTAAGAGTAAGTGTACAATGTATGTTTATTTAATAATGAATTGTTAATTACCAAATGTGTAGGTGATGTCTCATGGGCAAATAATCTCACCTCTTGATATTACAGTTTTCACATTTTATCTTCTTTAACGGTTTCCTGAATAGGTAAAGAATAAATAAAAAACAGAATGAAGTTTTTATTAGACACAGAGAGCATATCTATTGTTTAGTAAAATCAACCAACTTTAAGCATTTTATTGATCTAAACAACAAGTGCAATACACACACTCCGGTCAGCATTTTCTGTAAGAATCTTTAAAATAGTTCAAGGTCTTTGCTCAATCATGTTGAACAGTTTTCTGAATGGGTAATTGAAAACAACACAATGGGGTTGTTGATAAGCATAAGAAAATGATCTACCAAATAAACCTAATCCATTTTGACAGTGATTGGCATATTCCTTATCTCCTTCTACCAAAACTCCAAATAATTAAAGTAAGTATGAGACCCTATGAGATTGGTAACATCATGTAGAAGGGAGTCACATGACTCAGTCAAACTTTTAAAGCAATGAAAACACCATGTAAGTACATACTTTGTTACAGGAGAAGGTATTAACATATCAACAAAGAAGCGAGGCAGCACTGACCCAGCAGTGTCTCAAAGAAGAAAGGAATAAACGTAAACAAATGCAAAAGGAAGCTGTGCTATCCTATGTTAAGGTGTGTTCAAGTTATATGTTCTGTTAGATACATCAGTAGTTTCCTCCTTGATAATACTAAATGTTTTCAATCTTTACTCTTTACCTGTAGCAAGCATCCGTATTTTTGCTTGCATAATCTTTTATTTTCTCTTACAAAATGGTGAACCTAAAGCCATCAAGAGATTTTTATTCTTGTTAAAATAAGTAAAGGAAAATTATTAAATTAATTCCATTGCTACAGTGTTGTTATTCATGTTTGGAAATGGCTTTAATGGGTAATGAAGAAAACTTTATTATAAATATACAATGTTTTGACAGTATTATGTCATCATCAGGTACAAGTGGCTTATAGAGACAGATGAATATATATACACAGTATGGAACAAAGAGGTCACATGACCAGAGATTGCTCAACAGCTTAGTAAAGTTATCTTGGTACCCCAGGGTGTTGGTTTAGAGCAGGTCTGTTTTGTTCAATTAAGATAGCTTCTTCTATTTTGCGTTTGCTGATGTTTGGTTCTTTGTTTAAAATTAGTGTTTTATATAGATATACTATGGGTTTTGAATTGCAGTGGTGGTAAACATGAAAAGGTTTTTTATTATGTTTGGTGAATCTGGTTTCCAATTTTCTTCCGGTTTCTCTGACGTAGAATTCTGGACAGTTATTGCACTTTTATAAATGACATTGGTATTGTATGATTCTATATAATTTTTGTTTAGTAATGATTTTAGGTAAGGGTGGGGGTTTTTGAGTGAATTTGAAGTCAACGGGAATTTTATGGTTAATGGCAAGTTTTCTCCAAATGTTGATTATTTTTGCACCGATTTCAGGGATGAATGGTAAACTGCAGTGTAATGTTGTGTTGTTGTTTGGTATATTAGTGTCAATTTTTGTTTGTGAGTTGATTTTTCTGGTTTTTGTTCTGATGGTTGTGTGGAAATTTTTCAATAATGGTTAGTGGAAATTTATTGGTGTGAATGAAGGAATGCTTTTTAAAGTTTATTTCTTTATTTATTTCTCCAAACTTTTATTTTCTGAAAAGTGAGTTCCTTGTCATCAAATTTAAGTGTTGTAATTCAGACAGTCAAGTATTTTTCTGTGGTTGTTAGAGAAAATACTTTTGTAAAAACACGTGTGAAGCTAAATCTACTGAGAAATATCTTTAATAGGATCAGAGAAATGAACGAATCAATGTGATATTGATTTATTGTAATACCTTAACATTAACATGAATATTAATATATGTAGTTTAAGAATTGATAACTGTTCTTGAGTATGACTTGTTAGAGCAACCAAGTAAATGCCCATTTGTACAGAGTGAATATTTTTGAGATAATAATCAT